TGTCCCAGGCTCATCTTATACTTTCCTTGCCTTAGACTTGGTGTCAGCCATTTCTCCAAGGAACCTTGGTTCCTTTTAGGGGAGTGTGATCTTTTCTTTAGAAAAGATCTTGGAGCTACATGTGCTGAATGTTATCGGAGTTTTGCTGCTTCCTGTCTTCAGTGGACAGAGCTAGTGAATATATTACAATTGTATTATAATATATGTATTACATATACACATGTATTTACATCTATATTTCTGTATCTATTTATGTTGAAAACTATGGGTTCATGCTAATATCCCCAATTCCAGTCTAATACCATAGGGTTCCTTCAAGTTTTCTCCTTTTCCATATTTGAAACTGTCTTCTCAGGAATGAGAAACTTTAATGTATTTATTTGATCAACTCTTCTGGATGTCACTTATCTCTTGTTACCATTGAATCCCACACTCCCTATGCGATGCCCTCCTCGCTGGCTTGGGCTCCAACACTCCTAACTATTCCATTCCATTTTGCTTAGCTTGGTTGGGCCTTCACACCCTGCTCTGGGCCACCACAGGAGTCCGCTTAACCCCACTGTGGTCATCTATCTTGCTTTAGCTTCACCTAATGGTTTTTGTATTGATCTGATCAAGGAAACAAGAAAAGAAGAGTACCACTTTATTTTCAAGCATTTGCTAAATACTATTTACCAAGCCCTATATTATTTCATTTTAGTGACATTATGACCCTGAGAAGTAGATATAATTACTTTCTACACATTGGCACTGTGAAGATGAAAGAAATTATGTCATTTGCCAGCATCCATAGCCAATAAGTGGCAGATATGAGGCTGGTCCTATCTCTCTGACTATAACCAATATTCAAATTGGAAGTTGTGGTATATGTTATATATTTCATATCTTTTCAAATGTGTAGAAAAAATGGTTCATTTTTAAGGTCAATAATCATTATAGAATTTCTAGTATATAAATCTTTTGGGGATATGAATTCTCAAATGTCTCAATTATAAGCTGAGAAGAGCTCTCTCCATGTAGTATTAATTTGCTAATTAGGCACTTTGAAAAGATTGTACATAAAGAAAATGTTCCCTCATTAATGATGGCATTAAGGATTTCAAAAGGTATTTTATAATTTATACTATTTCATTTCACAATCTTACTTCTCTGCTCTGCTTTGTGGCATATTTTAGTGGTTAAGCTTTTATGTACTGAATCATTCAAAATGCCTCTCCATAATTTAGGGAAAAAAAAGATATGAGAGAATGTTTCTCAGGCTGTTTGTCTCCTGTTAAATAATGGTGAACAATTGTAGGAACTTTTCTGAAATAAAAACATGGATTATTTGGAAGAGGCTGGATTTTCAAGCTCCGTTAAAAATCCATTATGATTTCATGGTCAATTTTACAGAAATTTGGCAAGTTTCCTGCCTAATCTAAATATTCTAAATTTCAAGGGAAAAACCTACTCTTTCCCTCTACCCCTGGGTTTTCACACATTTTCTCAAAGACGCATGGAGGCCTTTGACATTCCTGTGCTACTGTCTAGCTTATGTAATGCCTACTGTATGCTGGGCACTGTGTTAGGTAATCTACTCACATTATATCATTTAATCCTCTGCATCTGTTAGATGAATATCTTCTACAGATGAGAAAGTTGAAGTGTAATAATAAGCATGTATCAAGAGGCACCTGGCTGGCTCAGTCAGTAGAGCATAAGACTCTTGATCTCAGGATCCCGAGTTGAAGCCCCATGTTGGTTAAAAAAAAAAAAAAAGAGGATAGCAGCACTCTCAACAATAGCCAAATTATGGAAAGAGCCTAAATGTCCATCAACTGATGAATGGATAAAGAAATTGTGGTTTATATACACTATGGAATACTACGTGGCAATGAGAAAAAATGAAATATGGCCTTTTGTAGCAACGTGGATGGAACTGGAGAGTGTGATGCTAAGTGAAATAAGCCATACAGAGAAAGACAGATACCATATGTTTTCACTCTTATGTGGATCCTGAGAAATTTAACAGAAACCCATGGGGGAGGGGAAGGGGAAAAAAAAAAAAAGAGGTTAGAGAGGGAGAGAGCCAAAGCATAAGAGACTCTTAAAAACTGAGAACAGGGGCACCTGGGTGGCTCAGTCGGTTAAGCGTCCGACTTCAGCCAGGTCACGATCTCGCGGTCCGTGGGTTCGAGCCCCGCGTCGGGCTCTGGGCTGATGGCTCAGAGCCTGGAGCCTGCTTCCGATTCTGTCTCCCTTTCTCTCTGCCCCTCCCCCGTTCATGCTCTGTCTCTCTCTGTCTCAAAAATAAATAAACGTTAAAAAAAAATTTTTTTTTAAATAAAAAAAAACAAAACTGAGAACAAACTGAGGGTTGATGGGGGGTGGGAGGGAGGGGACGGTGGGTGATGGGTATTGAGAAGGGCACCTTTTGGGATGAGCACTGGGTGTTGTATGGAAACCAATTTGACAATAAATTTCATATATTGAAAAAATAAATTTAAAAAAAGGATGTATCGAGCATTTCTTATACGTGAAGTGTCATACTATTGCTTTGTGCAAACTATCTCATTGAATTCTCACAACTATTTGTATATGTTGAATCTCTATAATTATTCCAACCCATGCTTCTGGACATCACCAATCCCTCCTTACCGTGGCATCCCACACTGTCTATGCAAATGCCCCCCTCACTGGCTTGGGGTACAGTATATCTAGACAAGCCACGAGATAAGGCTGACCAGAGTGGAAAGGAGGAGGAGTCTGATTAATTTCTCAGAATGGGAATGGTGAGAGTGATTCCTAAGTACTGACAAAACCTCATCAATACCCTGTTTCTCTGTCATTACCTTCATCCTGGCACAGGGCCTGACCCATGTCATTTGTGTTTCTCTAGTTGTGATCAACAGATCAGTTTCTGGGCAGTGGCAGACCAGTGCCGGGAGACATTCTCTTCTGAAGAATTTTCCATAGGAAGGTGACTACCTATTTAACTCACTCCTCTCCCTCCTGCTCTGGCTGCAAAGGGCAGGACAGAATTGGAAACTTCCCTGATGCTCCCTCCACTCTTCTCCCCAGTTCCTCTCAGAGAGGGTGGGATGGGTAAGCCCCTCTGTTTCTAGCAACCAAATGCTGGATTCGACAGAGATGGAGACCTGGTGATTGGGAGCTTTTCTTTTATGTGTCATTGAGAGCAGTTTCACTGAATGAAAATTGTTTAGGCAACATCCCTACCAGGCCTGTAATGTTTATAAGTAAGTAAATGTCTCTGGCATTTTGTTTGAATGGGCTGGTTTTCTTCATCGTGCTCATAGAAAACCCAGAATAAACATGTTGCTCCCTACCTTGTTATCTCAAAGTGTCCTTAAACTTCAATGCATCAGGGGCGCCTGGGTGGCGCAGTTGGTTAAGCGTCCGACTTCAGCCAGGTCATGATCTCGTGGTCCGTGAGTTCGAGCCCCGCGTCGGGCTCTGGGCTGATGGCTCAGAGCCTGGAGCCTGTTTCCGATTCTGTGTCTCCCTCTCTCTCTGCCCCTCCCCCGTTCATGCTCTGTCTCTCTCTGTCCCAAAAATAAATAAACGTTGGAAAAAATAAATAAATAAATAAATAAAAACAAAAAACTTCCGTGCATCAAATTGAACCCCCAAACTGAAGATGCAAACCATCCCATTCCCCTTGCTCCTTTCCCAGGGCCTTCCCCTTGCAGCTTGGTACCCTCCCAGGAGGCCTGGAGCAGGGCAATATCATGAGAGCATTTGTGAGTACCTGAGCCCAGCACTGGAACTGCCCTGAAGTGTCTGGGCCTCAGTTTGGAATAGAAGCTGCTGGAGGTTGTCTGTTCTATGCACCTAAGTCCAAGCCACTCCTCATTCTTCCTGGGATGTGGAGGTGGGATGACTCACTTCTCTTTTTGAATTTCTTGCTGGGTGTGTTCAGGCACTTCGGTCCAGACAGGTTGCCAGGAGTGGCTGGTTGTTGAGTTATCTGAGTCTGTGAGCCAAGTTCAGCAACCTGAATGCCTCATTTTTCAGAGCCTAGGAACATCTCTCAGCAGAGGATCAATGTTATCCTTGTTTGGGGACAGAATAAACTCAGTGATTTCTGTATGATGACCTGGGAAAAGCGGTCTTCTTCACAAATTCCCCGAATGTACGGAGATACTGTTACTGAAATTTCTGAATATATTATAAATTTGTCAGTTTCTTTTTGCAGATCCATCAGGGTTTTTTTTGTTTTTTGTTTTTTGTTTTTTTGGTTTTCTTGCTTCCAGTATTTTTAAGCTCTGTTATTTGGTGCACAAATAATTAGGATTGCTTTATCTTCTTGATACCTTCTTGACCCTTTATCATTATTAAGTGGCCCTCTTTCCCTGATAATATTCTACACTCTGGTGTCTAATTTGGTTGATATTAACATAACCACTTCCACTTTCTTTTGGTTAGTATTAGCATGGTATATTATTTGCCATCTTTTTACTTTTCAGCAATGTTTATTTATATTTATTGGGTGTCTTATAGACAGCATATAGTTGTGTCTTGTTTGTTTTGTTTTTTATCCAATCTGGCAATCTCTGACATTTAATTGGGTCTTTTGGGCCATTTATGTTTGTTGCTGTTACTGATGTTTGTGTTTAACACCTTTCTTCCTCTTTTCTATTTGCTTATCTGTTGTTTGCATTCTTTTTCCTCTGATTATACTTTATGTTTAATTAACTATGCTTGTAATTTTGTTTTAGATCCTGATGGATTCTTAGCCAAACATTTACAATACACATCTTTAACATACTACAGTTATTATTATATTACAGTCATGGCAGTTTAAGAACTATATAAAAATACACTTCCATGTATAAAAATATCCCATCCATGCCTTGGTGCTGGTCTTGTCACCCGTTTTACTTTGACATAGGTTATAAAACCCACAAATATGTCCTTATTTTCACTCTAAGTTGTCAATTATCTCCTGCAGATATTTAAATATTAAGGGATAAAAGTCTTACATTTGTCTCTGTATTTACCATTTTCCAGATGTCCATCTGCTATAGTTTCCTCATGGTTATGGGACCTCTTTTAACATTTGCAGTGCAGCTCCATTGGTAATGAACTCCTTCCCCTTTTGTGGGCGAAAGTAATAAGAGAGTAAGGTGAATATGTATTTCACTTTTGCTTTTGAAATTTATTTCTGATGGGTAAATTGTAGATTGGCACTTAAAAAAATTTGTTTTAATGCTTTAAAGAAGTTACTTTCTTCTGTTGTGTTTTTTCCCTCTGACACGTCTGTTGTAATTCTCGTGACAGAATGAGAATAATGTATCCTTTTTCTTTCTGCTTATGATATTTTCCCTTTATCACTGGATTTAAGCAATTTGATAATGGTGGGACTTTGTATAGTTTTCTTCACGATTCTTATGCCTTGGGTTCACTGAGCTGCTTTAGATCTGTGAGTGTTATACCATTCACCAAATTGTGAAATTATCAGCTAGAATTTTTTTCACAAAAAAATTTTGCACTATCTCAAAACCATGCACAGCAATTAATCTACAATAAAGTCAAAGATGGATAGGTAATGCTCGTGAGTACAATGCATTTAATTTGTGTACTTAAGACATATCACTCAGACTGATGCAACAATGGGTGATTTATTACTATGAACTGTAAATTGTGATTACGAACATCAGGGCTCAGGGGTGAAACAGTGGCAATGGCTAAAGAAGGAAGGTAATCTATACTGTATTCATTTTACATTAAAAATAATGGTTTTTTTCATACCTATTTTTGAGGGTTGCTATATCAGTTTAGAGTTTTCCTCCAACTTTCTGAAACCATTACAGAAAACAGAGTTTTTGTGTCATGAAAGGGGTGTCTGGGAAACATAACTTTCATTACTTAAACCAGCTTAGTTCAAGACAAACTCAGATGGTTTATGACCCTAGTGCCAACATGGTAGAGACTCATGGTACTGAAATGTCTGTAATTTTCCTTTAGTTAAAAAAAAAAACACAAAAAAACACACATTACACAGATTGATGAAGGATAAGATAACGGAGTTACTGATTTTCAAACCAGGTCAACTGTGATGAAAACTGTTTTAGTAAAGACCAGGGAACTTTAGAAGATATACAGAAGGAAGATATAGGAAAAATTTTGGCACACAAGTATGAATAATCACTATATATGTGCCACTATAATTAGCAAAGAAAATGAAACATATTCTGTGAATTCCAGGAAGGGGTCCCAGTAAGTTCCATGGGGAAATTTATTTTGACCACATCTTCAGTTATGAGACTGTGAATACAGGTCAAAATGGTGACACTGTTCATGAGGAATAGATGATTTTGTCATAAACTGTATGTGATGAGTATCTAACTGAGTATGAAGTTGGCTTTTTCATATTGACCCAGGCTGTGATACCAGAGCTGGCTATAGATGAGAGCAGGTGAGAGGTGGAAAGACAAGGAAGGCTCTAGGGAGGGACAATTGTTTACTTGTTTAAAAACTGTTCAGTATGATTTACATGAGATAGACTATGAAAAATAATCTAAAATATGGAGAAGTGTAGAGAAAAAAATGGAAGGCAAGACACTTTCTAAGTATTGATTCTGAAATCACTGATAGCAAAAAAGTTTGGAAAATTTTGCAGATGTGTTGGACAAAAGGAGAGAATTAGAGAGGGTGGGGAAAATGATGCTCTAACCCAACTGGAGCTCTCTGAACACAGCTTTGGGGTCAGGCAAACCTACTCCATGGAAGATGTTCATGTCCTCCAAAATTGAAAAAAAAGGAACATGAGAAACTTCCCAGAAATTGAACTTTAGAAAGATGCAACAGAAACTATGCCTTGAGTAAAAGGATCAATCCTAGAACAAATATTACATCATTCAAAGAGTTTTGAGCCTTGGGTGCCTGGGTGGCTCAGTTAAGTGTCTGACTCTTGGTTTCAGCTCAGGTCATGAACTCACTCTTTGTGGGATTGAGCGCTGCATCAGGCTCATGCTGACAGCACGGAGCCTGCTTGGGATTCTCTCTCTCCCTCTCTTTCTCTGCTCCCCCCAACTCATGTTCTCTCTCTCTCTCTCTCTCTCTCTCTCTCAAAATAAATAAATAAACTTACAAAAAAAGTTTTGAGCCTTTCACTTTGTGATAGAACTTTTTCTCCCTGTAAAAATAGATGTGATCAAGAAACTGGGGCGCCTGGGTGGCTCAGTTGGTTGAGCGTCTGACTCCGGCTCAGATCATGATCTCGCGGTCTGTGAGTTCAAGCCCCGCATTGGGCTCTGGGCTGACAGCTCAGAGCCTGGAGCCTGCTTCATATTCTGGGTCTCCCTCTCTCTCTGCCCTCTCCCGCTCATGCTGTCTCTCTGTCTCTCAAAAATAAATAAACACTAAAAAAATTTTTTTTAAAAAAGAGAAAAAAGAAACTGTATCACCATTTACCCCTTCAGTATAATATGTAATAAGTTTTGCTTAATATGAGTTATTTAGCTACATTTGATAAATTAAGTATAGGCATACTGCATTTTATTGTGCCTCACAGATACTGAGTTTCTTACAAATTGAAAGTTCGTGGCAACCCTGTTTACCAGCACCATTTATCACAGCATCTGCTCACTTCATATCTCTGTGTCACGTCTTGGTAATTCCTGCAATATTTTTAAACTTTTCATTATTTTTACACTTGTTATAGTAATCTGTGATCAGTGATCTTTGATGCTACTATTGCCCTGTTTGGGGGAGCCACAAACCATGCCCATGTAAGAGCATAAAGTTAATCAATAAATGCTATGTATGTTCTGATTGCTCCAGCCACTGGCTGTTCCCCTGTCTCTCTCCTTCTCCTGGGGCCTCCCTATTCCCTGAGACACAACAATATTGAAATTAAGCCAATTAATAAGCCTACAATGGCTTCTAAGCATTCAAGTGAAAGGAAGAGCCCCATCCCACATCTCTCCCTTTAAATCAAAAGCTAGCAATGGTTAAGCTTGGGAAGACATGTTGAAAGCTGAGATAGGCCAAAAGGTAAGCCTCTTGCATCAAACAGTCAAGTTGTGAATGCAAAGGGAAGGTTCTTAAAGGAAACTAAAATTGCTCCTCCCGTGAACACATGAATGATAAGAAAGTGAAAGAGCTTTATTGCTGAGATGGAGAAAGTTTGAGTGGTCTGAACAAAAGGTCAAACCAGCCATTCCCTTAAGCCAAAGCCTAATCCAGAGTCACCGAGGCCCTAACTCTCTTCAATTCCATGAAGGCTGAAAGAGGTGAGGATGCTGCAGAAGAAAAGTTTGAAGCTAGCAGAGGTTAACTCATGAGGTTTTGGGAAAGAAGACGTTTCCGTAACATCAAAGTGCAAGGTGAAGCAGCAAGTGCTGATGTAGAAGCTACAGCAAGCCATCCAGAAAGTCTAGCTAAGGTAGTTAGTGAAGGTGGCTACACTAAACAACAGATTTTCAATGTGGATGAAACCACCTTTTCTTGGAAAAAGATGCTAAGACTTTCATAGCTAGAGAGAAGTCAATGCCTGGCCTCAAAGCTTCAAAGAACAGACTGACTTTCTTGTTAGAGGTAATGCAACTAGTGACTTTAAGTTGAAGCCAATGCTCATTTACCATTTTGAAAATCCTAAGGCCCTTAAGAATTATGCCAATATACTCCTGCCTCTGCTCTATAAATAGAACAACAAATCCTGAATGAAAGTATGTCTGTTTACAACATGCTTTACTGAATATTTTAAGCCCACTGTTGAGGCCTCCTGTTCAGAAAGAAGACTCCTTTCAAAATGTTACTGTTCAGTGATGATACACCCATCACCCGAGAACTCGGATGGAGTACAACAAATTTAATGTTTTCATCAATGGGTGTCATCCATTCTGTATCTTGTGGATTAAGAAGTCATTTCAACTTGGGGCACCTGGGTGGCTCAGTCAGTTAAGTGTCTGACTTCAGCTTAGGTCATGATCTCATGGCTTGTGTGCTGGAGCCCCGCCTCAGGCTCTGTGCTGACAGCTCAGAGCCTGGAGCCTGCTTCAGATTCTGTGTCCCTCTCTGGCTCTGCCCCTCCCCCACTCATGCGCTTGCGTGTTCTCTCTCTCTCTCTCAAGAATAAATAAAACATTTGAAAAATTTAAAAAAAGAAGTCATTTCAACTTTCAAGTCTTATTATTTAAGAAATACATTCCATAAGGCTATAGCTGCAATAGAGAGTGATTCCTCTAATGGGTCTGGGCAAAGTCAATGGAAAACCTTCTGGAAAAGATTCACCATTCTACAAAAATGAACTACTGGGACCTCATCAAAATAAAAAGCTTCCACACAGCAAAGGAAACAATCAGCAAAATTAAAAGGCAACCGACAGAATGGGAGAAGACATTTGCAAATGACATATCAGATAAAGGGTTAGCATCCAAAATCTATAAAGAACTTCTCAAACTCAACACCCAAAAAACAAATAATCCAGTGAAGAAATGGGCAAAAGACATGAATAGACACTTCTCCAAGGAAGACATCCAGGTGGTCAACCGACATGAAAAAACGCTCAACATCACTCATCATCAGGAAAATACAAATCAAAACCACAATGAGATACCACCTCACACCTGTCAGAATGGCTAACATGAACAACTGAGGCAACAACAGATGTTGGCAAGGATGTGGAGAAAGAGGATCTGTTTTGCATTGTTGGTGGGAATGCAAGCTGGTACAGCCACTCTGGAAAATAGTATGGAGGTTCCTCAAAAAACTAAAAAGAGAACTACCCTACGACCCAGCAATTGCACTACTAGGCATTTATTCACGGGATACAGGTGTGCTGTTTCGAAGGGACATGCGCACCCCTCTGTTTATAGCAACACTATCAATAATAGTCAAAGTATGGAAAGGGCCCAAATGTCCATCGATGGATGAATGGATAAAGAAGATGTGGTATACACACACACACACACACACACACACACACACACATACACACACACACACACACACAATGCAGTATTACTCGGCAATCAAAAAGAATGAAATCTTGCCATTTGCAACTACATGGCTGGACCTGGAGGGTATGATGCTAAGTGAAATTAGTCAGTCAGAGAGAGACCAAAATCATATGACTTCACTCATATGAGGACTTTAAGAGACAAAACAGATGAACATAAGGGAAGGGAAACAAAAATAATATAAAAACAGGGAGGGGGACAAAACAGAAGAGACTCATAAATATGGAGAAGAAACAGAGGATTACTGGAGGGATTGTGGGAGAGAGGATGGGCTAAGTGGGTAAGGGGTATTAAGGAATCTACTCCTGAAATCATTGTTTCACTATATGCTAACTAATTTGGATGTAAATTTTAAAAAATAGGGGCGCCTGGGTGGCGCAGTCGGTTAAGTGTCCGACTTCAGCCAGGTCACAATCTCGCGGTCCGTGAGTTCGAGCCCCGCGTCAGGCTCTGGGCTGATGGCTCAGAGCCTGGAGCCTGTTTCCGATTCTGTGTCTTCCTCTCTCTCTGCCCCTCCCCCATTCATGCTCTGTCTCTCTCTGTCCCAAAAATAAATAAACGTTGAAAAAAAAATTTTTTTTTAAATAAAAAATAAAATTAAAAAAAAAAGATTCACCATTCTAGATCCCATTAAGAACGTTGTGATTCATGGGAAGAGGTCAAAATATCAATGTGAAAAGGAGTTTAGAAGTTGATTCTAGCCCTCGTGGATGACTTTGAGGGGTTCAAGCCTTCAGTGGAGGAAGTCACTGCAGGTGTGGTGGAGATAGCAAGAGAACTAGAATTAGAACTGGAGCCTGAAGATGTGACTGAATTGCTACAGTTGAATGGATGAGAAGAAGAAGCAGCTTAAGGATGAGCAAAGAAAGCGGTTTCTTGGAATGTAATGTACTCCTGGTGAAATGCTGTGAAGATTGTTGAAATGACAACAAAAGATTTAGAATATTACATAAACTTAAGTTGATAAGGCAGCAGCAGGGTTTGAAACAGTTGATTCCAATTTTTAAAAAAAACTTGTGGGTAAAATGATATTAAGCAACATTGCATACTACAAAGAAACTGTTCATGAAAGAATCAATCAATGTGACAAACTTCATTTTTGTCTTATTTTAAGAAATTGCCACCACCACTCCAACCTTCAGTAACCACCACCCTGATCAGTCAGCAGCTATCAACAGTGAGGCAAGACCCTACACCATCAAGATTATAACTCACTGAATGCTCAGATGATGGTTAGCATTTTTTAGCAATAAAGTATTTTATTTTATTTTATTTTTTTTAATATATATTTTTTTAACGTTTATTTATTTTTGAAACAGAGAGAGACAGAGCATGAATGGAGGAGGGTCAGAGAGAGAGGGAGACACAGAATCTGAAACAGGCTCCAGGCTCTGAGCTGTCAGCACAGAGCCCGATGTGGGGCTCGAACTCACGGACTGCGAGATCATGACCTGAGCTGAAGTCGGACGCTTAACTGACTGAGCCACCCAGGTGCCCCAGCAATAAAGTATTTTAAAATTAAGGTATATACATTTTTTAGACATAATGTTATGATTTAGTTACACTACAGTATAAACTAAGTTTTACATGCATTGGAAAACCAAAAAACTCATTTGACTTGCTTTATTGCAATATTTTCTTTATTGTTGTGGTTTGGAACTGAACCTGCAATACCTCTAAGGTATGCTTGTAACTCCACTTTTTATTTTCTTTTTTTTTTTTTCAACGTTTATTTATTTTTGGGACAGAGAGAGACAGAGCATGAACGGGGGAGGGACAGAGAGAGAGGGAGACACAGAATCGGAAACAGGCTCCAGGCTCTGAGCCCAGAGCCCGACGCGGGGCTCGAACTCACGGACCGCGAGATCGTGACCTGGCTGAAGTCGGACGCTTAACCGACTGCGCCACCCAGGCGCCCCTATTTTCTATAGGATTTAAGAGACAAATGGATAAAACATAATAAATCTATGTTAATAGGTTCACAATATATAAAGTTTAATTTATAGCATCGATAACAAAGGAGAGGTAGAGCTGTAAGGAAATAGAGTTTTCATATATGACTGAAAGTAAATTGGTATCAATTCAAAATAGATTGTTATAACTTTAGGATGTTATATGTAATCCCCAGGGTAACCACAAAAAAGTACCTATAAAATATACACCAAAGGAAATGAGAAGGGAATAAAAACATGTAAATACAAAAAAATTAAACATAAAGAAAAATAGTAATGAAACAAGGAACAAAAAACTGTAAGACATAGAAAAAACAAATGACAAGATGGCAGAAGTATGTGCTATTTTACCAGCAATTACTTTAAATGTAAATGGATTAAACTCCCCAATCAAAAGGTAGAGATTGACAAAATGGATTAAAAAATGATACAAGTATATGCAGTCCACAAGACACAAGAATGTGTAAGTGAAAGGATGGGAAAAAGATATCCATGCAAATAGTAACTAAAAGAGAGTGGGGTGGCTATACTAATATCAGATAAAATAGACTTTAAGTCAAAAACTGTCATTAGAGACAAAGAAAGGGGCACCTGGGTGGCTCAGTCAGTTGAGCCTCCGACTGGCTCATGCCATTATCTCACAGTTCATGAGTTCTGTGCTGTCAGCACAGAGCCCGCTTCAGATCCTCTGTCCCCCTCTCTCTCTGCCCCTCCTCTGCTTGCTCCCATATGCTCTCTCTCAAAAATAAGTAAACATATTTTTAAAAAAAGAATGTCAAAGGACATTATATATTGATAAAAGGATCAATTTACCAAGAAGATATGATAATTACATATATGCACCAAACATACCTCCAAACTATATGAAGCAAACATTGTTAGAATCAGAGACAGAAATAGATCTGCAACAATAGTAGGGAACTTCAATACCTCAATAATGTATAAAACAACCAGACAGAATATCAATGGGAAATAGAGGACTTGAACACCACCAAAGCATCAAATACATCTAACAGACACATCGAACATTCCAACAACAACAGAAAATACTTTTCTTAAGTGCACATGGGTTGTTTTTCAGGACAGACCATATGTTTGACCACAAAACAATGGTTAAGAAGTATTAAAAAACTAAAATTGCACAAAGTGTCTTTCTAATTACAATGAAACGAAACAAAAAACTAACAGCAGAAGGAAAACCAAAAATTCACAAGTATGTAGAAATTAAACACCCCACTTTAAGCAATTAATGGGTCAAAGAAGAAATTGCTAAGGATATTAGAAAATATTTTGAGACAAATGAAAACAAAACACACGTTAAAACTTACAGAATACAATAAAAGACAATACTAAAAAGACAATTTATAGCTGTAAATGCCTATGTTAAAAAAGAAAGATTTCAATTCAGCAACCTAAATTTACACTTTAAAGGGCTAGAAAAAGAACAATGTAAACTCAAAGCTAGCAGAAAGAATACAATGATAAAGATCAGAGAAGAGAATGATGTAGTTATTTTGGTAAGTGTTCATTTGGTTCTAAAAAGTACAGTATAGGAACTCACTTATCATTTTCCTTTCTGTTAGAAACTCAACAATATGCATTCAATTTTAAAGCACTTCTCCAGGCAATGAGATATAATTATAGACAAACTAACCTGAAACAGAAATCGTTGTCCACTTTTTCTGGTTGAGCCTGGAGTTGAGAATGGAACAGAGCACAATTTTTGAGTTCAATTACCAGGACTGAAGTTTCATTAGAGAATAGGCCTTTCCCATTTGTTCTGTCATTTTCAGAGGGTGGCTTTAAATTATGTCCTTGGAGGTTTCCAGCTTGCCTCAGGCTCTGGGTACCACTCTGCAGCTTTACACACCAGATGGACCGAATTGGCATCACTGTTCTTGGTGAGAACATGTGAGGAACTTTCCATTCCTGTGAAATGAGAAGGGAACAAGCAGTTCAATTAAGAAATCAAATGTTTTGATTTTAGTTTGAGTATTTTGAATATGATGCACCAAACAGAAGGACTGCCTAACTCCTAACTCCTAACTCCTATATAACTTAGGAAGAAAACAATGATTTTATGAATAATTTTATCAAAATTAATGATTACCCCAAGGAATCAAAATTAGTAGAGGGGCACCTGGATGGTTCAGTTGGTTGAGTGTCTGACTTCAGCTCAGGTCATGGTCTCACAGTTCCTGAGTTCAAGCCCCACATTGGGCTCGCTGCTATCAGCATAGAGCCCACCTTGGATCCTCTGTTCCCCTCTCTCTCTGTCCCTCCCCCTGCTCATTCTCTCTCTCTCAAAAATGAATAAACGTTTATTTTTTTAAAGTAGTAGAAAAAGACAAGAACAAGAAAATTTAAAGACCCGAGATAATTGAAATTTTGGAGAAAATAAGAAATGAGAAACTGAGCATAAGAATTCATAGCAATTTCAGAAGCACACCAAAAGCCAGTTGAATGGCAGAGCTCTGATCAAAAGTCCTTACACTACCCACAGAAGTCAAATTGTCAAAGTAGATCCCTAGAAATTATACACTTTACTTAATAGCGTGTCAGCCTTGCCCAGGGGCCATGCTAATCTTCTCTGCATTATTCCAGTTTTAGTACATATGCTGCCGAAGTGAGCACTGCTGTGTACTTAATAGCAAATTTTACTAATAATTAGTGAAGGATACAAGCAAAAAGCAGGCACAAAGATAGTGATATCTATCTCTGGAGGAGTCCAAACTATCATCTGTGCCTCCAAAAAATAGATTTTTGCATTGGGATATATTTTGTTTTCAGAATAAGAGATGAATATTCACTGTATTGTACAGTTTGCCTGAGGAAGCTGTTTAAGTTCAGAGCCTCTTAGTTTTTACATTCCATCAGTTACACAGGGAACCTATGTGACTAACTTCTGTTCTCTGAGTTATGACCCCTAATCCATAAATTCCAGGTTAGTTTATAATAAGCAATGCAAAAATGCTCCTAAAAACATTCTTAGATGAGAACTTCTTTGGTTATCTTCCTACTTGTAAATTCCATCAGAGTGGAGGAGAGAGTTACAGAGCTATTTTTAATTCTTTATTATTGATTGATTGATTGATCGATTGATTTGCAGGGACCTGCATGAATTGCAGTAATGACAGTGGCAGGGAGAGTGAATTCACTGAGAGTGAATTAGAATATGTCAGAACATCCAGAGCTCCCCAGACACCATACTGTGCAGTGTGGAATGTGGCTTCTCTTAAGGTACTTGGGGAAAGACAATGACACATTTCTGAGCATGTATGAAAGGAACACTGGGCTCCAGTGAGAATGTTTCTGACCCTCACCTCTCTTAACCATCCTCTGGGCTCATAGTTCTTCATAATCTAGAACTTACTTTAATATATCTTCCAGCTGTCATCTCTGTCTACATTGAGGATCAGTGGGGCACGCAATGCAAAGCAGGGAGCAAAGAAAGCTAAAGGCAGCAGGCATGACAGATGGGATGAATATACTTAGACTAAATTATAAATACAAATGATATATTGATCAGTTTGCATCTGATCAAATTGAAGCATGTTTCAATATATGCAGTACATCAGACTTGAGTGAGGCAGAAAATTATAAACAATGGTGGTAAATTAGAGGAAGCATTCATAGACACACAGATGTTCCAATGGCTCTTGATATTCACATTTCCAAACTTGGATTTTATATACTATCTTCTCAAAAGAACAAAACAATAAGCTCAATCACATACAAAAATATCATATATCATAAAGTTGATGCTTCATACCAGCCTAGGAAAGATGAAATGTTCAATAATTAAACTTGAGACTACTGGATAGCCCTAGGAAGGAACATTTCACTCATATTGCGTAGTTTACTGTAGAATAACTTCAAATAGATAAACGATTTAAGAGTTAAGGTTAAAATGTACTAAAGAAAATTAAAAGTTAAAAAAAAAGTTTTTTTTGAGAGAGAGAGAACATGCAAGCAGGGGAGAGGCAGAGGGAGAGAGAGAGAGAGAATCACAGAGCCCCCACATGGGGCTCGATCTCACGAACCATGAGATCATGATCTGAGCCTCAGACACTTAGCCAACTGAGCCACCCAAGTGCCCCAAGAGTTATTTAAAAATCTTTGTGTGAGAAATGTATTTAAAAGTCTGATTAAAAATGCACCCACAAAAAATACAATCAGTTATCAAAAATTTACAATTAGCAATGTTAAAAAAACATAAAAAATAAAAATTGTAACTTATAGCTCTTACATATTGATGAAAAGATCGACATTATATATGGAACTATTACTTTCCCTCCAAAACTTGTTTCACCAATAGTTATCCCAGAATCTATGAATGGCAATACCATAACTCGAGTTAGATTGGGCCGAAAATCATCAAGTAATTATGAGCCTTCTATTTCTCTTCTGTTCATTTAAGGAAATTCTATTTACTCAACACTCAAGTCCGAATAGCATATGTACATACTATTCTCAGTCTCTGCATGGTGTTCTAACTGAGCCTGGGAAAGAAAGAGTCAAAACTCTTGATACTTGTTGAATCCAGTATAATAGGAAAGAGTATCAACTTGATATTTCTAGAAAATGTTTCCACATTACCATATGTCAAGCTTCTTTTCCAGTAGCTAGAACTTAGGAAACATTTTCTGGTTTTGAATCCATGTTTACACAGCTCTAAACATTTAACTGGACTGGAATGAACCTAGTAATTATAACGAACACTAAACCTTGAGAATTATATGTCTAAATGATACTCTCAACTTCACAATAACTAGAAAACAAAAATTAACCCATATTATGACTAATTTGGTTCTTGTCTATGAACTAGATATTTTATCATGGAGCCCATGATAGTAGGCTAAATTTTCCATGGAGATCTAACTTAGGCATCAAATATCCTGTGATATTGTTCAGGTTTTGAATTTAAAAATCTAAGGGGATTCAGTTAACTAACTTGAATCCAAAAATAAAAAATTCTGGGGTGCCTGGGTGGTTCAGTGGGTTGAACATCCAACTTCGGCTCAGGTCATGATCTCATGGTTCATGAGCTTAAACCCCACATCTGGCTCTCTGCTGTCAGCATGAAGCCTGCTTAGGATCCTCTGTCCCCCTCTCTCTCTGCTCCTCTTCCACTCCCTCTCTCTCTCTCTCTCTCAAAAATAAACAAACATTAAAAAAATAAAAAATAAATCTAAGGGTATTCAGCATTAGAAAGAAAAATATTTGGGATAAGGAGAATAATACAATTAGAATAAATCATTCATATCTATATATGCTACACATAATTACAGTGGGTTTGTAAACACTTTAGAGAAATGCATTAAAATTTTTATCCTATATAAATATTTTAAAAATAATATGAAGCAACACATATTCAGAAAATTAATTCAAATGTACAGGAGTTGTCAAATAGGTCATTTATATGGTTAAATTTTTTCTGCCAGTCTTTAATCTTAAATCACATGATTTAAGTGGATTTTGAGAGCTATGATGTTTGTGATGTTTTTCAAAACATTCAGCACAGTTTCTTAATTATGGCAATAGCAACTTGAGAACTTATCTGGACTTTTCTCTACAGACTCTGTCACTTAAATCAGATGCCAAATAAATATGGCTTCTAATGTCACGAGAGCCACCATGCTAAGGCTAGAGACAGCAGGTCTGATTCATGGACCTTTCTGGTCAATAAGGGGTTTGGGTGCCATGAACACAAAGAAGTCATCATACATGAAGTATGAAGTAACCTGTCATACTTATTGGGTGATTTAGTTATCACCCAGTTGCTGCTAGCTTATCATGGAATCTACCTCATTTCTCTTGATCTCAACTAATGCTCACTAACTCTTACATTACCTCTCTAAGCTTCCAGGCCAACTTTTCCTCCAACAACCAGCTTTTTAGCTATAGACAAGCCTAAGGCATATGTTCTCTGCCCCTACAAAATATATATTAAATAACACTTACTAAACTGAAAGGCTGCAGCTACCTAAGTCTCTATTTTCCCACGAACAGAATCAAGAAATTTTTATTTAATTCATTTGGCAAATATTTATGGGATACCTACTCTGTGACAGGCATTGTTCTTTTAAAAAAAATTTTTTTTAATGTTTTATTTATTTTTAAGACAGAGAGAGACAAAGCATGAGTGGGGATGGGGCAGAGAGAGAGGGAGACACAGAATCTGAAGCAGGCTCCAGGCTCTGAGCTGTCAACCCAGAGCCCGACGCGGGGCTCGAACTCACAAACTGTGAGATCATGACGTGGGTCAAAGTCGGACGCTCAACCGACTGAGCCACCGGGCACCCCTGACAGGCATTGTTCTAAGCTTTTGGGACATTTCCAGGAACAGCAATGAGGCCAGAGTACCTTTATCAAACGGCATCGTCTCTGGCCTCCAAAGTACTGCGGCTGGAGCCCCAGCCCTGACTTCTCTTCCGGTGGCAGCATTTGTGAATCGTCCCGGGAGAAGCCACATTCATTTTCAATCTGCTCAGCTTGGGAGGTAGATTCTCATCTGTGTCAGACCCATTGTCAGATTCCCTTTCCTCAAAGGCCTGGCTGAAGACAGAGCACTCTTCCTCGATGTTAGGTGGTAGTAGTCACCTGTGGCTTCCAGCATAAAACCACTTGTGTTGAGAACAAGGGTTTCTTGTCCTCCTCCTCCTCCTCATCTTCCTCTTCTTCCACCCTGAACAGACACTTCTGCCCATGGGTCGTGGGTTTCAAGCTTATTGGTCTCAGCATGGAGACAGCACTTGTCCAGTCCAGACAACTCGGGGAGGTCTGAAATTCTGAAGACAGGATACAACCATAGACCCCGCCCCTTTTGTTTTGGGTTTGTTTTGTAATCCTATGTGATCCCAGAAACCCTTGATACAAGCCAATGGAAAGGAGCTTAAGATTATATACCTAAGTGGAAATGCTAAAAAGAAGGAAATATGGAAGTAGCCAACAAATACAGATATTCAAGCAGGTTATTCCAAATAATCTCATTGCTTTATAACCATAATAATATGAAGATCCTTTTCCAAAAGACCTGAACCTCAGAACACTACCAACTACTGTTAAAAAATACAAAGTAGATGGGGTGCTTGGGTGGCGCAGTCGGTTAAGCATCTGGCTCTTGATCTCAGCTCAGGTCATGATCTCACAGTTTGTGAGTTTGAACCCCTCATTGGGCTCTGCGCTGATGGCATGGAGCCTGCTTGGGATTCTCTCTCTCTTTCTCGCTGCCCTTCCCCCTCTTGTGCTCTTTCTCTCTTAAAATAAATAAATAAATAAATAAATAAATAAACATTAAAAAAATATATAAAGTAGGTTGCACCTTCATATTCTGTTCTCTCACTGAAATACTTTTCATTTATAATGCTACAAATTTTGTGTTTTTTTCATCTACAATGTGATTTTTTGTTGTCTTGTTTCATTGTATATAAGTACCACACAGTGAAGTGCAAACAATTTAAGTGAATTGCTTGATGAGTTTTAAGAAATACATACCCAAATACGGAAAATTTTCATCAATTCCTTTATGTGTCTTCCAGTTAACCCACTCACTGAGACAACTACTGCTCTGACTTTTTTAAAACTTTAATTCCAGTATAGGTAACATACAGTGTTATGTTAGTTTTGGGTGTACAAATCTGATTTCTTATACCAGAGATTAATTTAGCCTATTTCAGGACATCATATAAATGGAGTCATATATATCTTACTTTAAGCTGGTATCACACTCTCTTGATACTGTAGCTTTAACAGAAAGTATTGAAATTGAGTAGGAAGCTCTCCAAATTAATGTTTCCTTTTCAAGAATGTTTTGACTTGTTTACGTTTTTTGTATTTCCATATGAATTTTAGAATCAGCTTGCCAAATTCTACAAAAGTGAACAAACAAAAATTGCCTGCTGAGATTTAGATAGGGATTATGTCAAATGTATAGACCAGTTTGGGGAAACTTGGGATCTTGAGTCTTCTGCCCAACCAACCAGATACAGTTTTCCATTTATTTGGGTTCTTTTTATTTCTCTCAGCAGTGTTCTATAGTGTTCAGTGTATAGGTTTTGCATATATTTTATTAGGTATATTTATATTGCATATTTTAATGCTATTACTGGTGCTGTTTTGTTTTGTTTTGTTTTTTAAGTAAGCTTCATGCCCAATACCGAGCTCAACGCAGAGGTTGAACTCACGACCCTGAGATCAAGACCTGAGCTGAGATCAAGAGTTGGATGCTTAGCCAACTGAGCCACCCAGATGACCCTAGCACTGTTTTTAAATTTGGTTTCTGTTTGTTGTTACTATGTAGATATACATTGATTTTTGTATTTTGATCTTTCACGGGAATTGTCCCTTTCATCCAAGCTATCAGGTTTACTGGCATTAAGATGTTCATAGTATTTTCTTATTATTTGGATGTCTGCAGAATCTGTAGTTATGTCACTTCTGTCACTTCTGATTCCAATCGTTTTCTCTCTTTTATCCTGATGAGACTGTGACTCACATCAATCTTCTCAAAAAGCCAACTTTTGCTTTCTTTTACAGTTGATCCTCCAACAACACAGGTTTGAATTGCATGGGTCTCCTTATACACATATTTTTTCCATTAAATGCAGTACAGCACTAAGATGTTATTTTCTCTTCTTTAGGATATTCTTAATATTATCTTTTCCCTAGCTTATTTTATTGTAAGAATACAGTGTATAACACATACAACACACAAAATATGTGTTAATCAACTGTTTATATGTTATCAGTAAATCTTTCAGAGAACAGTAGGCATACTAGTAAAGTTTTGGGGGAATCAAAAGTTACATGCAGATTTTCAAATTGCATGGGGGACTGGCACCCCTAACCCCCACATCGTTCAAGGGTCAACTGTATTTGCTCTATTTTTTTCCCATTTGATTTGTTCTCTGAACTTCATTATTTCCTTTCTTCTCTTTACCATGGGTTTCATTCTTCCCTTTTACTAGCTTCTTAAGGTGGAAAGTGAGAGGCCATAGCCTTTCATCTTTTCCAATAAAGGTATTTAGTGCTTTACATTTCCCTTCAAGTACTGCTTTAAGAGGCATCCACAACTTTAGATATGTTATGTTTTCATTTTCATTCAGCTCACAATACTTTATTTCCCTTTTAATTTTTTCTTTAACCAGTGGATTATTCAGAAAGATGTATTTAGTTTCCAAATATTGGGAGATACTTTTGTTACTGATTCCTAACTTAATGCTGTTGTGCTCAGAAAATACACTTTACCTTTTAAATTTATTGAGACTTGTTTTATGACCCCTTAATATGATCTACCTTAGGGGGCGCCTGGGTGGCGCAGTCGGTTAAGCGTCCGACTTCAGCCAGGTCACGGTCTTGCGGTCCGTGAGTTCGAGCCCCGCGTCAGGCTCTGGGCTGATGGCTCAGAGCCTGGAGCCTGTTTCTGATTCTGTGTCTCCCTCTCTCTCTGCCCCTCCCCCGTTCATGCTGTGTCTCTCTCTGTCCCAAAAATAAATAAAAACGTTGAAAAAAAAATTAAAAAAATATATGATCTACCTTAGTAAATGTTCTGCATGCACTTAAAAGCAATGTGTATTCTGTTGTTGTTAGATGGAATGTTCTTACCAATGCTAATTAGGTCAAGTTGGTTGGTAGTGAGGATGTTCAAGTCTATCTCTATCCTTGCTGATCGCTTATCTCCATGTTCAATTAATTATTAAGAGAGGGGGCTGAAATTTCCAACTACAGTTTTGAACTTGTCTAGTTTTCCATATAGTTTTATCAGTTTTTGCTTCATGTATTTTGAAATTCAGCTATTGGGTGTGTAAACTTTTAGGATTACATCCTCTTAATAAACTGACCCCTTTATCATTAGGAAATGTTTTTCTTTATCCCTTGTAATTATTCTTAGTTCTGAAATATATTTTGTCTAATATTAATACAGTTCCTTCTATAATTTTAATTTGAGTTAGCCTGGTATATCTTTTTTCATTCTTTTAACCTATTTGTGTCTTTATATTTAAAGTGTGCTTCTTATAGGCAGCATAAATTTGGGCTGTGCCTTTTTATCCAGTATGACAACCTACTCTTTTAATTGGTGTTTAGATCATTTATATTTAATATGAAAATATATATTTGTTAGATCAAGTGTATCATCTCAATTTTGATTTCTATTTGTCCTATCTTTTGCTATCTTTTCCCTTTTTCTGCCTTCTGTTGGATTAATTGTATATTTGTTATTCTTTTTTATCCTTTTTTGGATTATTAGCTATGAATGTTTAGTTATTTTAGTTTATTTAGCATTTCTACCATATACTTCCAGCTTGTCCCAATCTACCTGCAAGGAATGTACCACTTCATGTATATAGTATGAGACTCTTACAATATGTTCATGATCATGTTTTGCCATTACGTGACCATAATGCCCCTCTAATGGCTGGTTTGGCCTACCTTTCATAGATATACTTATGGATACTGTGACCTTCTTCAGACAGCCATATCCAGGAGCTCACCAAGGGTTTCCTTAGATAAGGAATCCTAAAGCAATATGAGACATCTGATCAGGCTTTCTCTTGATCATCTCAACAAAATCCAGAGCCAGTGTCTGCTGGTAATTTTTTGGCACCACCTGCAACAAAAAGAGAGTATCATTAATCACGACATACCTCCCAAGGTACTATATTTCTAGATGGTCCAATCTTAGAAGGACAAAGCTTAGGGGGGTTCACTGAATATGTAGCATCAATGGTCTCTCCAATGTTCTTTATGCACCGGTTTTCTTAGCTTATTTAAAAATCCAGCCTGATTTTCATGTTTATGTGTTTCCAGAACAATTTTTTAAATGTGTGTTTGTTTCTTTATTTTGAGGGAGCATGAGTGGGGGAGAGGCAGAGAGAGAGGGAGAGAGAGAATCCTAAGCAGGCTTCACACTGTCAGCACAGAGCCAGATGCAGGACTCAATCCCACAAACCATGAGATCATGACCTGAGAGGAAACCAAGAGTCGGATGCTTAACTGACTAAGCCACCCAGGTGCCCCCATGTTTATGTGTTTCCAACCAATTCTCACTGCCAGGATGTAGAATTGGTCCTTTTTGAACACCAAAGCTTTAGGATTAAGATAAAATTTTGAATAGAGATATAAAAAGTTTTTTTAAGTGCAGATCTTTTTTGGTGAAAATGAAGGTTGCTGAATAGAAAGCAACTATATGCTGCCTTTGTGCAGGCATCACAAAGCATGAACTAGCTCAAAGCACAGTTTAGAACGGAGAGCAAAGCAGGAGGGGCAGCACAACACAGTGGTTATAAGTGTGGACTCTGAAATCAGAATACCTGGGTTTGAATTATGACTTCTGAAAAATGAAAACTAAGTAGCTCTTTTGTTTGTCGGATATTTTGATTTTTCTGTTAGGTATAAAGGAAAGGTGTTAAAAGCAGTTTTCTGTTTTGTTTTGATGATACAAAACTGTGTGCTCTCAAAACAGCTTTCCTGCTTTAAAATATTGCTACAGCCTTTGTGTGAAGATGCTATCTTGTTTAATCTGGTGAAAAGATTCCAAGAGGTTGTGGTCACATGGCATGCATTGTATGGTAAAGAGGTAAGTCATGATGGGTGTGTAGTCTATTACCATCAGAGTTATGAAGCTCCTGGTAGTGTGAAAGTATAGTCGTTCAGGAGACTGGAGAAGTTTCCAGATAACCATCTCAAGGATTACTTGAGATCTCTCACAAATCCAGATTTGCACGAGTAAGTGCTAGGCAGTAACTGAATGCATTCCTAGAGAATTCTGTGATCTTTCAGTCTCACCAACTCAGAAATACATTATTTCCCCGTGGCAGGAATTTTTCAAAACCTCTAATCCACTTAAAGCATAAGCCATTAGAATGTATAATCCTCAGTTCATATCACAATACGATGTACCACAGGAGGTCCTCATTAAGATGACTGACTGGGTTCTTCTGGAGCTGTTACAGATAAGGACTCAAACATCAAGTCTTTCATTGGCACAAAAGGAAGATGAAATTCCTAGTTGTAATAATATGAATAGAAAGGATGTTGACATGGCTATGCCTGGTGGGTAAGCACGATATAGAGCTGGTAATGAGAAAACAAAAAAGACATCTAGAATATGAAATTAAGAATCAACGTGGGGAAGTATGTAAATGATTCATCTGCAAAGATGACTTAAAAAGAGAATTTTATGGGTAGTAAGAAGGGAGAATTTGAGCTTTCATAGACCATCTAATACATGACTATGTTTCCTTAGATACTTATCAGTTTGCAATTTTAGCTTGTTAATATAATTATTTTTAACTTGGTTGAATTTTTATAGCCATTGAACTGGAAAAGTATTATGAATAAGGTTATCAACATAAGAATATTTTGTTCATCTGAATTTTTGTTCATTTATTGTTATAGTAATATTAGTGTTGAATATTTGATATTTGTTTAAGCATACTATAAGAGAAAATAATTACATAATTCTGCTAATGTGCTTAGGAATCATTATTTTCAGTGTAAGATGAAAGAAATACTAGTAAAATATCAGGGTTTTATGAAAAATATGAATGTAACAGTATAAACTCATAATTTAAAACAGTATGTTCTGATTTGTTGCCATGTCCACTGAAAGTGGTCAAGACTCAATGACACCCCATTGGATATGAGTACCTGTGGGAGACAGACTGGGGTTTTCAAATACCATTGCCCACTAAAAGAAACCAGTGCTGTTTGGAGGAATGACTGACACCAGGTCTGGCAGAGGCAATATGCAGGATGAATCTGAAGTATTGTAACTATGGCAATTTCTTTTTTTTTTTTTTTAATTTTTTTTTTCAACGTTTATTTATTTTTGGGACAGAGAGAGAGACAGAGCATGAACGGGGGAGGGGCAGAGAGAGAGGGAGACACAGAATCGGAAACAGGCTCCAGGCTCTGAGCCATCAGCCCAGAGCCTGACGCGGGGCTGGAACTCACAGACCGTGAGATCGTGACCTGGCTGAAGTCGGACGCTTAACCGACTGCGCCACCCAGGCGACCCGAACTATGGCAATTTCTTAACAGTGCATTTCAAATAACATAAGTTATCATTACAATGAACTCTAATTTATCAATTCTTAATTTCATGCTGTGGGGTTTTTTTATTTCTTGCTTGAAAAACCGTTGAATAACGAAAGTCAGTTATCTTCTGTTTGCTTCTAGAACTTTATAGTTTCTACTTTTACATGTATATCCATGACCTATTTCAAGTTGATTTTTGTAAATGGTGTGTAACTATGGATCAAAATTCTTTTTGGTTGTTTTTGCAAACGGATTTCTAATTGTTCCAACATTATTTGTTGAAAAGACTACCTTTTGTCCATTGAGTTACTTTGATGACCTTGTTAAAAATCTGTTGTCCATATATGTATGGTTTGGTTTCTAGACTCTATCCTGTTCCATTGGCCTGTCTATTCTTACACCCATACCACGGACTTGATTATTCTAACTTTACAAACCTTGAAATCAGGTAATATGACTCTTCTTACCGCACCCCCCCTCCCCCCCACCGACCAAAAGGTATTTTGTTTATGCTAGGTCTTTTGCATTTCCATATAGAAATTTTTAAGTTTATTTATTTATTTTGAGAGAGACAGAGAGAGCACAAGTGGGGAAGGGGCAGAGAGAGAGAATCCCAAGCAAGCTCCACACTGCCAGCACAGAGCCCAATGTGGGGCTTGAACCAACAAAGCCACGAGATCATGACCTGAGCTGAAACCAAGAGTTGGACACTTAAGCAACTGAGCCATCCACATGCACCTCCATATAAATTTTTGGATCAGCTTGTCAATTTTTACAAAAATGCCTGCTGGAATATTTTTGTGGGTGATTCAACATACACATCAATTTAAGGGGAACTGATATCTTAACACTGACTCTTTCCATCTGTAAGCACACTATCTCTCCAATTATTTTTTTCAAGAGTCACTTTTTTTTTAAACTTTTTATTTAAATTCCAGTTAGTTAACATATAGTTCAATATTAGTTTCAGGTGTACAATATAGTGATTTGACACTTCCATACAATACCTGGTGCTCAGTTCAAGTGCATTCCTTAATCCCCATCACCTATTTAATGTTTATTTATTTTTGAGAGACAGAGCAAGAAAGCACAAGCAGGGGAGGGGCAGAGAGAGAGGGAGACACAGAATTTGAAGCAGGCTCCAGGCTCTGAGCTGTCAACACAGAGACAAATGTGGGGCTTGAACTCACAAACAGTAAGATCACGACCTGAGCCAAAGTCAAGTCGGAGGCTTAACCAACTGAGCCACCCAGGTGCCCCTCCCCATCACCTATGTAACCCATCCCCCCATTCACCTCCCCTTTGGTAATCACCAGTTTGTTCTCTATAGTTATGAGTCTGTTTCTTAGTTTGCTTTTTTCCCCCTTTGCTCATTTGTTTCTTAAAATTCCACACAAGAGCCACTTATTAAGTCTATTAGTTTTGTGGTTGTTGTTGTCGTTTTTGAAATATTCTATGTGGAAGACCAGGTTGTCTGCAATAGAGACAATTTTATTTCTTCCTTCCCCAAAGGTATGCTGCACCACCACAACCACCTTCCCTTTCTTGCTTTCCTTACTGCACTAAGATCACCAGCACAATGTTCACTAGGGAGAGCAAAGCAAACATCTTTGACCATTTGCCAAATGAAAAAAATGCTTGGGGGCAAGCATTTAGTCTTTCACAATTAAATATGATGACTAGATTTTTTTTTTTTTTATAGATGCTCTTTAACACTATGAAGTAGCTACCTTTTGTTTCTAGTTCACTGAGGTTTTGCTCTAAAAAGATGTGGAATTTTTGTCAAATAATCTTCTGCATCATTGAATGATCATATGGTTATTTTTTTTTTTTTAGGCTGCTGATATGATGAATGACACCAATTGATTTCATATATTGGACCAACCTTGCATTTTTAAGTTAAACACTACTTGGCCGTGATGTACTTTCCTTTTAAACTATTGCTAAATCTGATTTGCAAATATTCTGTTAAGGATGGCTATGGTCTATGTTCAGGAAAAACATTGACCACCAAATGTTTTTTTCTTATAATGTCTCTGTCTGGCTTTAGCATCATGATTAGTGCTAGCCTCATAAAATATGTTAGAAATCCTTGCTCCTCTCTTTTCTGGAATATATGTATGAATCGGCATTTTTTATTTAGTTGTATTCAAATCTTTTTAAGATCCCTTAATTATCTGTAGATTCTGAAGTGATGCTGTTTCCTTTCATTGCTTGCTATGGATATTTATACCTCCTTTTTCTTTGTATTGCCATGGTATTAATGATCTTTTTAGTCAACATTTTGTTGTTCCTACTTCTTTTTTTCCATTTTTAATCTTTTCAACGTTTATTTATTTTTGGGACAGAGAGAGACAGAGCATGAACGGGCGAGGGGCAGAGAGAGAGGGAGACACAGAATCGGAAACAGGCTCCAGGCTCTGAGCCATCAGCCCAGAGCCCGACGTGGGGCTTGAACTCACGGACTGTGAGATCGTGACCTGGTTGAAGTCGGACGCTTAACCGACTGTGCCACCCAGGCGCCCCTCCACTTTTAATCTTATTTTTATCACTTCCTTTTTT